TCCTCGTCCATTCGTGCTGCAGCGTTCCGCGTGCAGCCACAGAATCCGCAGGCGATCTTCTGCTAATGCACTAAAGCGCCGGCAGCTGAGAGGCAAGCAGCAAGTCTATTTTGCAATAGAGATAAGCCTCTTGTCTACCCTTAAGCCATCTATTGTATGATTGTATGTTAAGACAATGCTCTTGACGGATTTATTTGTGGCATCCTCATCACATTTCGCACATTTCTCCGTTTCCTGACTCGGAGAGGGAGCGGCTCATAATCGAGGGCATCTGAAACTACCTTGTTGTGAATTTTGTCAAGTATTGTAATAATGCCAGCAATGCGTTGGAAAGCCCGATTTCTGCCGCTTCTATCCAGGGTCATATTCTTTCAATCAGCAGTCGTAGATAATGCGAAATGTTTACAGACACACTTGAAGACAGATAAATTTCCACTACTGCTTAGTTCATCGCCACATTCGTCGCCACCGACCGGCTTAGCTGCCACATTGCAGTGCTGGCCATGCTCATCCGCGTGTCTGCTTATGTGCACTCACCTCCGTCACTCGTGAATGGTATCCCGACATAATTATATTCATTTTTCTGCTTCAGTTGTACTCACTCCAGTTGTAATTACTTGTGTAGAACAAGTGCAGAGGCCTGGGCTTTGACCAAGCTGATTTTCAAGGTTGTAAGAACAGTAGCATGAGAATGTTCACACAGAAGAAGTTACAGTTTTGTTCCATTTCCTTTTATGACTGGTTCATTAGCTGTTCGCTACAGAACTTCATTACTGCAGTAGCGGTAATTAAAATGGACTTTTCTTAACGTGTCATTTTGTACTTGTTCGTTTCCTGTGCCATTCATGGTATTTAAAAGTAATGGCTGAGAACGTTCTTTTAATATGTCTTTGTTTGCACCTAGTCTTTCTTAGTTCGGCTTGCCGGCAGCGCATTATTTACAATTTCCGTGTCGTCGTCCACCATCAGCTAAGCGCGTAAATACAGTGAACTTCCATTCGCCACTTAACGTCGTCGTTACAAGATAATACGGGATTAGGAGAAAAAGTGTAAAGTCGTTGGTTTAAAGTGATTGACAGCCAGGTGAATGGTTAGGAGAAGAAGCGCAGCTACTTATATCCGAAAATCCGGCCGAGACAGATAACAGCCAGATCGGTGGTCACATAGTTTGAATGGATGCGGCGGTAAAAGGTGATTCACGAAACATTGGTCTCCGTATTTCATTTCCCGCCTTCCCTCATTGTCATCTGCTGAAGGTCATCGATCGTTCGGCGTGAGGTTCTTTGCGCTGGCATGTTGTTTGAGGTCAGTGCCTGAAACTCGGATCGCCCTAAACGTTCAGAACGTTCTTCTCTTCCTGACAGTTTGATCGTTTTGTGACAGTATCGTTGAAAGACTGCCGTAACGCATGTAATCCCTAAAACGCAACATTTTTTGAGGCTGTGGAACCGCGAAATCGTACCTGTGTCTTTTTCTCTTAACGGATGTAACGCTGAAACTAATGGTCTTCCAGAATGTTTGACACGTTGTGGAAAACTAACAGCACTATGCTCGAAACATCATACAGTGGTCGAGTAAATTTCACACAACAGCCGAAGAAAGGCGGAGAAAAATATTACAATGACTAAACACAAGATCAGTGAACGTTCCTTACTGGTGTTAGACTAAGGCCGAGCGAAGGCCAGTCGTTTCGTCTGCTGTCCGATGTTTGATCTGTGCCAAGAAACATCGGTTATTCTGGGCCCTTCTGTGGTTAGTCTGATAGGGATCCAGCGTTTCACTGCTTTTTTGTATTTGTTCATTTGTATTACTTACATTTTGATAACTTCCCGTGTGTCTTAGGATTCAGTCAAGTAAATATGACTGTTAAAATGACTATTACCGTCCTGTCAAACAGTGCCGTTAATATACACGTTTATGATGGGTTATTCATATTCATATTATCAAGTTACCAGCAGATGGTTCGACGTTGGAGAAAGTATTTCGGTCCTTAATTTTAACTATCCTTAAACACCTGAATTTCATGGCGTTTACCAGTAAAAAAGCTTATGTAGTGTAGCCTAAGCAACAGGAACCTCACTTCTTCCAGAAGAGACTTATCATACCTGCAGTGCACATTTTCAGTGACCACTGGCGAAAGTATAACCATAAAAAGGAGGCAGATTGTTAAACCCGGTGTCACGTAACGTTTTTCGAAACATGGATACGTTTTAAACGCAGCTAGTGACTTGGACATATTTTTTGTTTATTAACCGATTCCGAATATTGCGTCAACATCAAAATGATTTTGACAAAATGTTTATGCAGTAGCATAGAATGTGTAACAGCTCCTGAAGCATCGATGAGCGCGAAATGGTAGCTGCAGCGAGCAACAGTGTTCTAGACGCCGCATCTGGCACCGCAGGTGCTCAGATGCCATGGAACAGTAGCTTACTTAACTAGCCCCCTGAACTTCAAAGAACAAGGGGGCGACGTACCGTGGAACGCCGTGAAGCCTGCTCTTGGAGGAGTTATATGTTGTTCCGGTTAGTGACTCTTTAAAACAGGTATTTCGACTCCATGATAGGAAGGCACTGCGATAATACTCGACGACTGCGAACTCGTGATTGGAAACTAAGGAGAAACTGGAACTATGCTTGGTGAGTGACATCCGCTGCGGGGCAGGAATTAGCATCCTTCATTTCACGAAAATCGCACATGACCACGAAAAATGTCGTCACTGGTGTTCGGACCTGTTTCAGTGCCAATGGTATCATCGGCGCATGTCCATGTCAGAGGGATTTTCATCACTTGATCGAGAGAGATGATCATTCACGAGCGAATGTATCACCACGGATTACCTTGTTTCGAAGCTTTTCAGCCTCATCAATCAGCAAGAAGAAAAAGTGAAGACAGAAAAAGAAGATAAGATGAAGGAGGTGTGATGAAGAGGTGTGCAAAGAAAATTCCCTCTTTTTGCTTCCTGTATTTGGTTATCATGCACTTTTCATTAGGGTCCAGTGCTAATGATTATAGGCGAGGGTAGGTAGGTATATCGACGGATTTGAAAACAGACAGCTTCTGTTGCTCATTTTTCAACAGGTTTTCTTTGTTCACTCGATAAGCTGTTCAGATATTACCACACTGGCTCATTTTCGTCCTTCTTTCTCTCTGCGTGTGCACGACTCGAAAATGGAACGTCCAAGACATCATATGTATTAATGGCCAAACAAAAGAGAACGTCATGTTTTCATAATGCATCTACCCTCTGAACGGACCATCATAGCTTATTGGCAAGACAGACTGAAAGATGTGGAAGGTGTTTCATGAATGATGCTAGGAAATACAGAGCAAGATATCCATAAACCATATCTTCGCTAGGTCGATTTTTTAAACCTGATGTAAATATAATCTCAGAAACTTGCACATCCGTTTCGTGATTTCGTTAACCTTAGAATACCCTTTACCGTTAACACAATACAGCAACCGCATATATGCAAGCACCCTAAGCATGAAAGTTATTCACAAGCTGGATACAGTTGAAAAATTCTGCATATAGCTGGAAGAAACGGCAAGGAACGAATGGGTGAGTGCATGTCGTTGAAATGACAATGTACCGGAGACGTTGCAGGTGGAACCGAGCATCGTTGGACCAAAAGATGAGGATATGAGACTGGGCTACGACAGTGGATCACGTCCAGACCGATGGCAGGATAAACTGTGAACAGATTTGTTGGAAACAACGGGGATAAGAACTGCGGCAGACAGAATTTCGTGGTAAACTCCTGGAGAGACGTACTCATGCTGCGGTGGATGAAAAAATGCTTTTGATAACGACTGCGATGATATAGAACAACAATAACTAACAGACGTTTGTTCGCAGTTAACGAGGATCACCACTGCCAGGATTCGGTGTCCACGTTTGTTCGTCTCGTGTGCTTTGTATTCCCTATCTGCATTCCCTGTTGCCTGATTGTCTCATCTCAGCTGAGGTTTTCCGAATGGGCACTTGCAGCCCCCAGTCATGCGATGTAGTCCAGTAGGCCGCGGTCTGTGGAGCATTTGGCAGACGGTTTTGGCTATTATCGATGCTTGTCTGGCGCCTTGGGCAGATTATCCGTTTGCTTTACGCCGCGGCTGAATAGAGTTCCACACGACGTCTTTGTGAATGATTTGCTAAGTTGGCCTTGGCACCACCACTGGCGGTTTATGTATATATATCTTCTATGCCATGCTTCTGCCCAGCTGTTGGACAGGTGCTTCTCGCCTCTGGCCTTTTTCATCCTATTCATGAATCGTATTCTGAAGTTCTCCACTGCCCGTGTATCAAAGCAGCATAGGTTTAAGGCTAAGCCAAAAATATATGAAATGGGTAGAGCACTGATTGTTCATGAACACCACTTTCGCAGATAATACCAAATGTCGGAATGCAAAAAGACGAGGAAATAAACCGATTTTGTTTTGGAACTCCTAAGTCTGTTGAAAACAGTTCATTTTAAACTTGTAAACGGTACTGAGGTGAAAGATTCTTATTTAATATTAAACTGTCGGAACCGTGAAACAGAGTTCATTTATTTTGCATGTGTGACAGTATTAGTAAAAAGAAGCAGTAGTAATTATCGGATTTATCCTGAGATAATGCTTTTGTTGGAGACGTTTATTCGGTGTCTGGTCGACTGGTCGTTTTAATAAATTAACGATGGTGGGCTAATGAGCAATTAAGATGACGATGATGATGTTCGGCAGTTTGTCTTCTCGTTTCCGGTACCTGCTGCCGCTGCCGCTGCCGGCGTCACCTCAGTAGCCGGGTTGACTGGCGCAGCATGTGCAGACCGGACTTTGATGGTTGATCAGAAGTGAAAACGTGCAGAGATGCCGCCAAACGGCTGGGCGGTTTTTTCTTCGCTTCTATCGCGTAGATCAATTCGTTTCGTTTCCTGTTGAGTTTTTCGTTTGAAAATGAACATTCCTCCTCGGTCGATCGACGGCAAAGGCGAAGGCGAAGGCGAACTCGGTGACGAATGCTCACTCGGTCGAGAGGCAGTGCAGTCCGTAGCCGCAACTCGGGCCGTACGAACACCCTCACAAACGACCCTCGGGCGTACGATTCGTTCGACAAGCGAGCCGAGCCTCATGCTGCCGAGGTAACAGCAGCGGAACGGAGGCAGGCCATCCGTCGATTACGGCGGCTGGACGACGAACGGGACGAGAGTACGAGAGTGAAGCTTCTTCGTCACATTCCTCGGCTCGTCGATTGCTCGGTTCATTAGCTGGTCACGTAATTAAGTTAACAGCTGCGCCATTATGCTGGCCGGACCGACGGCGACGGTGGAAGCTTAGGACTGGGCTGGGCTGGACTGGGTTCGACAGCCTAGTCTAATCCGTCTGTCTGTCAGCAGACGGTTACAGCCACCGTCGTTCAGCCGGCAGCGATGAGTTGCGCACAACATATGTAGAATATACAATTCGTCATCGCCGTCGTCGCCACTTCCTCATTCTACGCGCTGGCTCCGACGATTGCGTTATTTCACTGCTTAAACGCGACCTCGAAATATTATGCCAGTAGCTAACTGAGGGACGAGGAGCGTCCCATGAGGCAGGGCCACGTAACTATGCGGCTGATCAAGCAGCATGCGGCGCCTCTGATCTGTACTGCCGTCAGAAACTTTCTAAAACGTTTCCCATAGGAAATGAAGATGCTGAGGAAGAAGGCGGAAATGAAAACGAAATCTAAGGGACAAAGAGTTCAAAGAAGCAGTTGTTTAATTTGAATTGCTGTATGGGCATCGCTGATTGTTTGCTTCTGCATTTCATGAACCTGGTGCTTCACAGTGCCAGTGTACACACAGCCGATTGATTGTTAAAATTTTTCTTCTTATTTAATATTCTTTCGATCACTGAATTGGGCAAGATTCATATTCATCTCGCTTTACACCATGCTTGGGCGTCCGAATATATTTTTATGTTTATGCCGTAGCGTATAGTATATAAGTAGTACCAGCTCGTGAATCATCACTCGTTACCAAATGATCCAAAATATATCTGGCATTAAGGTGTTCAAATCCCACGGAGCCGTGGCCTACTTAAATGCCCTCCTTTCCCATCCCCATGGGTAATTATGAGTAAGAAAGCGAGGAAATGCTCCCTGAGATCCGGTCTTAAACGAGTAATGCGCGATTTACACCAAAGTCGCTAGAGCACGTTTCTTTGTTCTGCCATAACTGTGTGATTGAAGTTTTTATTTCTTTCCTTCCTTCTAGCGGTACGCATTCATTTATATATCCCCATAGCTCTACGTTGATTGCTATAACACTTTCAAGCAGCGCGCGTTTACCTTTTTAGAGTACTGTCGTACTCTGCGATAAACAACTAGTTCGTTCATGTACGTTGACCGTCGTAGTCCGAATTTTGTCTACGGCCGGATTCGTAACTACGCATAAGCTGCTTTTCGGTACTATTTAGAGTACTGTAATAAAGTACTTTGATTACGGGGGATTAAAAATTTCCAGCATTGGCCTCTTAGCCATCAGGCACTTCAAACAAGCTTTGCAAATGTAATCCGAGGACACAGATCGAAATGTGGTTATTCGGTGTAATCCGCGATAACCATTGTAGTCTGTTGCACTGTTCTGCTGAATAATGTAGTTTTTGCTGTTATTGCGACCATATGACAGGCATCATGCATAGTGTATTGGTAAGCACGTAGCTCTTCTAAAATTGAATATCACGGTGTACTACACTCCATTACTTGACGTTACCCCAGGGCCATTTAAGCAGACCATAACTAGGCAGTATTTCAACCTCTTCGGTAGGATGTGTGGTATATATTGTGTATATTATATGTTGCTTTCGTAGAAACGGTGTGTTACGACCCTATACTTATAATATAGGCTAGTCAGCAGCTACATTAACATCATCCGTCCATTGCTGAGCCAGTACCTCGATGCTTCGCCGTGAATTTCTGTTTTCCGCAAATTTTCAACCTCCGTAATCCAGCGAGCTTCGCCAGCTCACCTTGTGGTCTTGGAACCCAATCTAGTGTTCTTCCGCTCACGCTAGTGGGATATTCCTGCAACGTGTTTTGCTCATTTCTACTTTAACTTCTTTACTCGCGCAATGACATCGCTTATCCATTCATTCGTCTTCCTATCTTTATTTGTTATTCGCAACATTCATCTTTCGATACCGTTTCGCTTAGTCTGCAGTTTTTGAATGGCGCTCAGGCTTAGGTTTAATGTTTCGCACTCGTCGGTTAGCGCTGGCAGCACACACTGTCAGGAAACTTTACGGTTCAGGCACAAGGGCAGTTTCTCGGATCGGAACGTTTTCAGTCGCCCAAATGTGTTTCATGCCATTTATATTCGTCTGTTGGTTTGGTAGAGTTCCCTTCACCGTTGATGACATGAACTGTACAAAATACACATAGTTTTGCACTTCTTCAAGACGTTTCTTTGACTTCAGTAGATCGCGCGATCACGATGATCTGGCTCTTCTTCGTGTTCATTTTCAGTTCTGCTTCATGCCATCGTTGCCCAGTCCCGGGATTATTCCTTGGAATTATTCTGGTGATCTCAAACTGTTGGTGGCTTAAGTAGTATCCATTATATTCAATTCCTGATCGTCCCAACGGACTGTCCTACGAACCTCTTTTAGGGCTGCTGTGAATCGTTTCGGTGATTGCGTCGCACTGTTAGATGCCGCTTTCGAACCCCCCTCCGTTTTAAATTTGTTTGTGCGTTCATGAAGCTTCTCATAATCAGTTGCATTCTTATGAATCATGGCGACGAGGTCTCGTATCGTTTCTCAGTTCTTCGGCTCTTTAGAAAATCCAGCGCAGAACCAATGTAATCTTAGTCGAAAGCCTTCTAGAAATCGACCAACCTCAAGTAGAGAAAAAGCTGATATTAGTTGTTTGTCAGAATTAGTTGTGGTATCTCCTGAAGATGATCCATCGTACTAAACCTACGTCTGAATCCTACTTGATCCTTTCGCTACGCAGCATCCAGTTTTCCTGGAAATCTGTTCCTCAGTACCTTTGTGAAGATCCTATAGATGATTGCCAGCAAATTGATCCGTCTGTATTTCTCTAAATCTTCTCTGTATCCCATTTTGTGAAGTAGAATTACCGATGCTGTGGTCCAAACTTCTGGAATGTTCGGTTCCTTCAGACTACGTGAAAACAAATAC